GTCATATAAAATTAACAGAAACTAAATATGACGGTGACACAGCGGGGAACCTACCACGGTAGCAGTTGTGACTGGGCTGCTCACTCCAGGGGGCCTGGCTGCAGCCATGACCCCTGCGACTGTGGGCCGCCGGGATACCTTCTGGGCCAGTGCACAGCCGCACCGGGTAAGGCCCGCGGGTGTTTGTGTCACATGTTCATCCTCACTTCATGGTGTCTGTGATGGTAACTGCCTTCCTGGCATTGGTGCCACTCAGCGGCCCTGCGCCGGTGTATCTGACTTCTGCAGCATGTTGATGGACGCCGGCCGCTGCGGATCCACGCCATTTTATAGCCCCACGTCCATCCACGGGATTGACGACATCAACGTGCGTGTGACGTCACGCAAAGGATGCACACGCACATTCTGGGGTCAAAGGTTGGTTACGGCCAATCAGATCTAAAGGAGGCTTATTTAAACTCATTTTTATTTTTCCTCATTGCCCTGTCGTGGTTTCCCTTAGATGGTTATCCGAGATTTTGTTCCTGGTTATTGACTTTGGCTTTGTTTTGACTTCCCTGACTTCTGGTATCCTTGATTATTGGCTTTCCCTTATTGCTGTGTCCCATTCAATTAAGTGGTCTGGGTGCCAGGTCCAGCTAGGTTTAACCCTGCAGCTGTAAACATAGCAGTTCTTAGGGTTAATCCAGCCTCTAGTGGCCGTCTCCCTGACAGCTGCTAGAGGCGCTTCCGCACTTCTCACTGTGAGCACTATAGTGCCAGGACAATGAGTTTGTTTTCATGGCACTATAGTGGTCCTTTAAAGTCTATGGGGACTCAGACACAACCAATTCACTGCAGCCATTGGGACTGACACTGAGGCTCTGCCTTGTGTCAACAAGCATCAAGCAGAGGAGAAATACAGAGAGCAGGTAGTCCCTCCTTTGTCTCTGTATATCTCTTTACTGAGCTGATACTCATAATAAGCATTTAAATACTCATGTTTCAGGGGTGGGGCGTGACAGTGGCGCTTAATGGATTTAATAACAGCAGGTCAAAGGTAATTCTACATCCCATGTGATAAGAAAAGCAAAAAAAACAACAACCTGCGAGCTGAGCACTCAATATAATCCAACCATAAATGAAGGTAAATAGCAAACGGGCCGGGAAACTCGTATTTCCCTTTACTGGGCTGTTAGTGACGTAATTAGAATAGCTTCACCAAGCTTGTGCATTCTTTCCCAAAGTGAACGCTTCTGGCAATATCACTCACCTCCACTACCCCCTCCTGTCACCTACTTCCGCGTTGCCTCGCCGATCCATACGCTAAGAATGTCATTAGCCAATCAGGACGTTGGGACCAAAGACGCTCCGCGCTCGCACCAATGGTAGCGGGACAGAAGCGGGCTCTCGCCGACTATAAACGAATGAGAATGGAGAATGGCGCCGCCATCTTGGTTGTGGCAGAGAGTTTGATTACCGAAACAGTAATTTCCATACTTTAGAGAAAAGTTGACACTTCACAGAAAGAAAGGCGTACTATCGACATACGTATTGTGTCTGGTACAGAAGTGTACAGTTTTGGGAGTTTATTCTATGTCAGGTTTGATTGACGCCATTTTGGTTGTGGCATGGCGAGTTTGCAAACCATAAACGCCATTTTGATAAGGGCAGGTTCTCATTTTGTAAAACGATTAGGTTACAGTTGCATAGAGACTGAGTTTATTTCTTTTATTGCTGGGAATTGAAAGTGAAATTATATGTAAGGTCAAAAGAGCCAAGATTAAAAAATAATTTTTCTAATTTGACTACTTTTTGTCCTAAATGTTGAAATTCACTTTGAATTCATGGCAACTCTAATTTTTTTTGTATGAAATCCAAATGGCAACAATTGCAGGGTTCTCAACATTGTTCCCAACAGTCCCTATTTTAGGTTTCTGTCCCGCCATACAGCATACAGATTGAGTTCTTTAGTCTGGCCAGCCCGCAACCTACGTTACCTTGCAGAGTGCGCCATTTAAACACTCACTGTAGGGTCTGTGCCCACTCGTGGCACTAGAACATCCAATGATGGCTGAGGACAGGTTTCCTGGTGTCCCTAGATGCAGGACTCCAGGAAACTAAATCGGGAAGGCGACAGAACCTTAAATTCGAGCTGTTGGGGGGCATTCAGTGGTTTATGACTGTGGTTCTTTTTTTTATCAGTGACTCAAATTATGTTTATGGTTTTTGTATTACGACTTAATCATCAATTGAAAAGGCAACTGTTCTTAAATTTTAATATATCAAACAATAAAATAAACTTTAAAAACCTTAATTCAGCTTACCCCTGTGTTTAGAGTGGGTTTCCAATTTACTGGGAAAAGTAGCAGTTATGTAGTAAATAAATTATAGTGTGCAGTTGCCTGGGGGCCTAAGTGATTATTTATTTTCATAATAAGCATGAGTTTTGAGGGCAGAACGGTTTTAATTATAATGGCTAAGTACTGAATTAAAGGCCATTCCATAGTTATAAAAACCAGCCCCCTGGTGGTAAGCAAGCGGTACATAAATTTGACATCAATGATCCTTTGAATAAAAATACACTTAGCGGGTCCACCCAAAGCAATCAAGGTTTATTGCTTAAAGATTATAGGTCAATGTCAATCCTGCCAGGAATCTTTATACAGCTGCTTACAAGTTACCAGTGCATCAGGTGAATACTTGTCATGTTTCTACAAGCAGACTTTATGGTGAATACCACCCAAAATTCCAGCTCACACCAGATTTAGATTAGTAGGTCAGCAGATCACTTGGGACCCAGGGGAGGTTGTCATAGACGCATGGTTGTCTGAGGTTAGTTTAAAGCAGCCTGCTAACAGGACAAGCAATATGTCTAGATACAAGGTTGTTGCCTGAATTGACATGTAAACCTCTGACATTTTACTCACAGCAGCCGTGTTTTTGCAATTGGTGTGTGGAATGTATGAGTTTTTCTCGAACAATGAAAGAACCACTCCAAGCACCATAACTAGTTGTTGTGGTATCAGGAGTGCCCTGCCGCACTCTAAGTGCTTTCTTGTGGGCACAGCGCTCAGCGAATGAGTCGGAGCACTTCCGCCAGGTTATTGTGGCAACGCCCTTACTCATTGCATAAGCCCCAGACTACTAGAGCACTTATGTGGTCGGCACCCGCCAGAGGTCCAGATCACATGTTCCCCCAATGGACCACGAGGAATGCGGTCAGCACCATAGTGATTACTTAGCAGGAGGCGTTTAAAAAAAACTTTTTGCCATACATTTTATTATGATTCTTGCCACCTGGATATCATTTGTTTTACATAAAGGACTAACCCAAATTTTGGTGATTAAAAAAAAAAGAAATTAAAGTTTTTTCTTTTTTTTTGCAAACATGTATTCCTAACATTATAATTTGCTGTTCCCTATTTACATTTAGGTCATCCTACATTTAATAAAAACAAAAATGTTTTACTTACCATTTTTTCAGAGAAGCATTAGCTGCATTTGATGTCATCATGCTGTTCATGATGATGCTGAACATGAACTCCTTCAAAATTGAAGATCTTAATGACAAAGGGCCTCTGTCTGACAGGCACCAGAGGCAATTCTTGGAGAAATACAAACATTCTCGTTTTGTTTCTAACAAACTTAAATGCTTTTCATTGTAGGAGAAAGGGAACGCCTCTAAGAATGATCATTCACCTTTGGGGTTAGGAGGTCAATCCTACCTAAATAATCCTAAATCCACCAGACCACCAGTGGTTATATTAATACCCCTTCCTGTCCAGGAGGTAAGCAGTAGGGGGCAAATGTTTTATATGTTTGACATAGCCTCCCCACATACGGTCATTCCCTTACACATATTTCACTCCCACTCACTCTGCCACAGTCACTCAGCACCACTCACCCTGTCACAATCACTCCTACTCACTCACCACCAACGTTGTCACACTCATCTCCATGCCATACTAACCTTGTCACACCCCACTACTCACTCTGCTAAACTCAACCCTTACCCTTTCACACTAACCCCTCCACCACCCTGTCACCACCCTACTCTGTCACACTCTCCCACCCTCACTCTGTCAAACCTACTCCCCAAGCACTGTCATTCTCACCCCCAAGCCCTATCTTACTCATACCCTCAGCCTACCACACTCATAACCCTTATCTTGTAACACTTTTCCCCCTTACCCTGCTACAGTCATCCCCCTACTAACCCTTCCACAGTCACCCCCTGAAGTCAGTCATCGTCATTCCCTGTAATCTCACACACATGAAACACAGCCTCACTATAAACACAACACACAAAGACCACAAGCAGCCCCACTTAAACACAACACAATTGCTTTAAAAGTAGCAGTGGCTATCACTGATCCCAGCATGCACCTGCTGCCTGCAGCTGATAGGAGAAATAAGGGGCGCCCAACTGAGTGAAAGAATGTCTAGCTTCACCTCAGTCTGTGGGGTATTGCTCATTTTGGGAAATTCATGGGGTCTTTGATGTACACAAAGCTTGTAAAATTCTTATATGTATGTATATATAAAAAATGTACTACTAAATTTGACATAAATGGCTAATGAATTGACCAAGTGAACATTTTTTTTACATTTTTTTTCACACACTACTCTTAGGGATTCCACCTGGCTTTTATTTTATTGGCACAGCCAGTATTTGAGGCTGCCAATATTGCAATGCTGGTATCTTTCTCAGGATAAACAAGAGATTACTGTGCAATACCAGCACTGGCCAGTAGGGGTCACTGTGTGTGGAGACAGGCAGGGATAGGAAGTTCCAGCAAATCCCTCCCTGTCTATCTATACTTACTGATCTGCAGGGGTGCAGCTACAGAGAGTCCAGACAGCAACTCCCACCCTGCAGAGACAGCCTACAGCTCAGGGAAGTAAGGGATGGGGGGAAGGCTGCAAGGAGACATACACTGGGAGACATTATGGCAGACACTGAGACACTAAGGGACATTGGGAGACATTATGACACAGACACATGGGGACACAGTGTCCCCATGTCTCCCAGTGTCACCATGTCCCCTGCCAGTGTCCCTGGTGTCTCAGTGCCCCCTAGTCTCCCAGTGACCCCTAGTCTCCCAGTGTCTCACTGTCCCATGTATCCTAGTGCCTCCATGTCTCCCAGTGCCTCAAGTGTCTCAATGTCCCCATGTCTCCAAGATAGTGTCCCTAGTGTCTGTGGCCCTGGTGTCTCAGTGTCCCCATGTCTCCCAGTGCCCCCATGTCTCAATGTCCCCATGTCCCCCAGCCAGTGTCTCTAGTGTCTGTGTCCCCTATTTTCCCAGTGGCCCCATGTGTCCGAGCCAGTGTCCACTAGTTTCCCACTGTCTCTGGTGTCTCTGTGTCCCTAGGTCTCCCCATGTCCCCCAGGTCTCCCCGTCTTCCTAGTGTCCTAGTGACACATATATGGGGACATAGACACATGGGAATACTGGAGGACACTGGAGGACACAGGGAGACATGGGGCATTGAGACACTGTGATACATAGGGACACTGTGATACATAGGGTCACTGGGAGACCTGGGGACACGACACTAGGGGACACTGGGAGACATGGGGCACTGAGACACTGATACATAGGAACGCTGAGACCTGGGGTAATCAACACATGGGGGCACTGGGAAACATGGGGGCACTGGGAGGAATCCATCTATACAGCATAATCAAACTAAATAGTTTTTTGGTGATTTTACAGCATTTTCTGTTATGTCACTCCTTGTGATTTACATGATGTGATATCACCCATACATATTTAATTATGCAAATTAGTAAGGCCGGTATGTTTTTCCAAGATGGCAACCCTAACTACATTTCACATACTCTTACTTAAGTATGGAAACTTAAGAGGGATGTATGGGAACAAAACTTGTGTGGACTGGCTGACAATGAATATAGTTAAAGGGACACTATAGTCACAAGAACAACTACAGCTTATTGACTTTGTTCTGGTTAGTAGAATCATTACCTTCAGGCTTTTTGCTGTAAACACTGTCTTTTCAGAGAAAATGCAGTCTTTACATTACAGCCTAGTGATAACTTCACTGGCCACTCCTAGATGGCTGTTAGAGATCCTTCCTGGGTCATGGCTGCCTAAAATGCATCCAAACATTCAGTGTCTCCTCCCTCTGCATGCAGACACTGAACTTTCCTCATAGAGATTCATTAATTCAATTCATCTCTATAAGGAGATGCTGATTGGCCAGTGCTGTGTTTGAATCATGCTGACTCTGTCCCTGATTTGCCGTTTTGTCAGTCTCAGCCAATCCTATGGGGAAGCACTGTGATTGGATCAGGCCACCACTTCTAATGCAGTCTAAAGACTGCTTGTTTTTCTGAGTCTAACAGTATGCAGAGTTACAGCTTCAGGCTTGAATACAGTAAGATTTTTACTATATTATGGAGGCATGAGGGGCCCAGGGGGGTTAGATGGTGGTGTTAACACTATAGGGACAGGAATTCATGTTTGTGTTCCTGACCTTATAGTGATCCTTTAAGGTAATGCTGACTTTGGTCTCTCTAACACTGTGGCATGTTCCCTTTCTTCTACACTCACTACATACAGCTTTTCTCTGTCCCAGACTATATACCAGGAGCGTCTACCTGCTAGTAAGAAGGTAAGGAGACAAGTGGACCAGAGAGTGCTAGGGGACAGTCCTTAGAAAGCGTTGAGCAAGCGCATCATTAGAGGCATTTATGCCAAGCTCAGGGTGCTGTCTGCATAGTATGCCCTTAGTTGGCCAGCTGCATGATTGGCAGGCAGTCTGACATGCATTCATGCCAGGCTGGCCTTATAATTCTTTGGGCAGACGTCCTCTTTTTGGGCATGTTCGCCCCTTTTGGCAGGTTACGTGATTTGTGTCAGTGGCACACGCTTTTACCGTGCCCATTGACTTACTGCTTGACTGGACACTGCTGTTAGGGGTTATGGATTTACTTGAAAGATGAAAACATAAATTAGAGGGAGATTAGCATAGGGTATGTGTTTTCTTATAGTTGCTGTTTTCTTTCTCTCCAGCACCATCTCCATCAGATACATGACGCCTGGGAGTGTTTTAGTGTTTTTGGTCGATATGATTCTTTAATTAGGCCTGTCATAATTGTCAGCACCAGGCCCACTCGGCTGTTAATCTGGCCCTGCTTGGGGGCAGAAGCAGAATACAAATCAGAGCGTTTCATAATATCCCAGAATTCACAATGTCTGTAAAAGTTCTAAACTGAAATTAAAAACATGAAAAATAGAAACAAATGGTAAATAAAAACAGCAGCTATTTCAAAGGTTGGAGATAAAATGATTGAATGAATAGCTTCAAAATGACCTGGAGGGGAGGTCTACTTTCTATAAATATAAATGTTTGTTTAGTGGTTTTGAGTTCTTATAGTCTCTGCAGATAAATTTTGCAAATGATTAGCTATAAAACTGTAATTCACTACTTTTTTTTGTCAATCAGTTATTGTATTGAGGCACAGTTATAACAGACTTTGTTTTAATAATGACATTTTCATAAAAGCGTTATGGTATAGCATAAACAATGACATGTTTCCTGAGAAAAGCTGAACCAGCACAATATAACATTTGTTTGTTGCTAGATGACATTATGCACAAGGTCATATAAAGATTATTCAAGCCTTTTTTTTTTTTTTTTTTTTCATTTTTAAGGACATAAAGCATTGATCATTCCAATGTAATAGTTTTTTTTTTTCAATTTAATTTTTAGGACATAAAGAATAGTGCATTCCATTGAAAGTAGTATGCATCTGATCAACATGTCACAGGTAAGGAATAGCAAAAAGTATTGTATTCAGATTAATAATGTCTTGTTGTCATTAAAAACTGATGCTATTGTAAGGGACACTATAGTCACCAGAACAACTACAGCTTATTGAATTTGTTCTGGTGAGTAGAATCATTACCTTCAAGCTTTTTGCTGTAAACACTGTCTTTTCAGAGAAAATGCAGTGTTTACATTACAGCCTAGTGATAACTTCACTGGCCACTCCTCAGATGGATGTAAGAGGTCCTTCCTGGGTAATTTCTGTCTAAAATGCATCAAAACACTGAGCGTCTCCACCCTCTGCATGCAGACACTGAACTTTCCTCATAGATTCATTGATTCAAGTCATCTCTATGAGAAGATGCTGATTGGCCAAGGCTGTGTTTTAATTGTGCTGGCTCTGCCCCTGATCTGCCTCTTTGTCAGTCTCAGCCAATCCTATGGGGAAGTATCGTGATTGGATCAGGTTACCACTTCTGCTGATGTCAGCAGGCAGAGGGGCAGGTCTAAAGGAAACAGGGACTAAGTAAGCAGCTTCAGACTTTAATACAAGTAAGATTTTACTATATTTAGGGACGCATGATGGGACCAGGGGGGGGGGCTAGATGGTGGTTTTAACCCTACAGGGTCAGGAATACTTGTTTGTGTTCCTGACCCTATAGTGCTCCTTTAATTTACAGTCTGAAAAAAGGCTTTAAAGATTTATGAGACTATATGACGATAAACAGAAATAGCTTAAACAAACTAATATATAGCCACTGTGAGCCGACTCCAAGTTTTGGGAAGACACCCCTAGACCAGCCCAGGAATCTTGTAATCCAACCAGCCTGAAGAGAAATGCCGGTGGGGCCTCTATCTCAACTCGGCGCCTAGCAGGATTCAAAGCCTTAGTAGGTGAATGCAGTTGCGAGTTACCTTGGCTCACCAAGGGAGGTTTCTCCTCTCCCCACCCCCACTTGCTGCATTTTATCCCTATCTGGATATTAGTTTCAAGAATATTAGCTTACCGGCGAGCCAAAAGGCCCAGAAAGCTACAGAGGTTATATTGCTAAGCTTCTTCCAATATGGCTTTCATAAAAAGAAATCAAATTAAATAAAAATAAGCAGATGAGTGAGTGACTTATGAAGTAGGGGCAAATGGCTGAGGTAATATTGCAGGACATGGTAGATGGTTTATAAGTAAGATGCCAGTGCCAAGCTATAAACTAAACATAATTAACACGCCATTTAGCTATGGTGTGCAAATCTACTTTCAAGCAATAAGAGAAAAAGAAACTGCTCATTTTTAAAATAAAAAAGTAATGCTCTAGGAACTATTTGTGACTCTGATAAGTAACCACCAGTGTGCCACTAGATATAGAAGACTGGTACTAGTAAGTATATGCCCAACATATAGGGCTGACATGAAAAACGATCAACTGAAGAGGAGGAATTGTCAACGTTATAAAGCTCAAAGTACCTCTCAGGAGGCATATTATAATTAACCGAAGCCTATGCAAGGAAACATAGAATAGTGATTTTGGCCCAAATCAGCATGAAATGTACTTCTGCTTCCCCACAAGCCCTCCCCCAATTCACTACATTTTAATATTCAGGGCTAATAAGTGAATCTGTTTTGAGGTTGTTTTTTTTATTGGACTAGTTGTGTAGTAAATATTATAAATTCTCATTTTCTAAAATCATTTATTTGTAAGTAAAATTGTGCTGTGCGAGCACCCAGCATATCAGACTAAAGCCCTATCTGCCCTGTAATAAACATTATATAATATGTATGGCCGGGTGCACATGCCGAATACAAGCACCCTAACCTGAAGTGGTCATGGTGCTTGTAGTAACCCTTTGGGAAGGCAGGAAAGAACAGTGGAACAAAAACGTAGTGAAACTGACAACAATGTGTCAAACTTCACAAAAATAAATAAATGGGAATATGGTGTTCAAAGAGACAGGAACTGTGTCCATAATGATTATAGGAATGACCAACAGTACAGCCCTAGCTGTGGGGAACTACTATTCCCATGATGCTTTATCAGCCTGAAGCTAAGCTCTATGGCCACCCTCCATCTAGAAACAATAGCACTTGGCCAGTGAGTGAAAACGAGGCCGCTGTGAGGCTGCCCCTTTAAGCTGACTCTGGAAACCGAATGACATCACCGGTCCCATCATGTGACAGCGCCGGCCCCGCCCCCGGAGGATGACGTAAGTGCATGACTGTGTTTTTATGAATGAAAGGAATCTGTGAGTGAGTAATTCCAGGAAACGGTAACATTACAACTCAGCAGATCTGCTCGCTGTCCGCACTCCGCCCGCCTGCCCGCCCGCCGCCGCCGGCCCGCCTCGGGGAGCTCGCCAGGTAAGGCAGCCTCTATCCCGGGTACCGGGGCACAGCTCGGGCTCTGGCCGGGCTCGCCCTATAGCAGCGAGGACTCTGCCTCCTTTGTATGCGCTGGCCGCGGGGAGCCATTGTGCTTTCTGTTAGACGGCATGGGGGAGGGGGGGCACTGTGTACCACCGGACTGACACCCCCCGGGCAGCTTTAACCCCTCCAGGGAGTCTGCGATCACTCCTACAGCATGGCTGGCTCCGAGCGGGGCACGCCTCGGGCACACAAAGGGTTAAATACCCCCTCCCCCCCCATACTGCCAGCGCTGGGCTATTGACGGCTTGCTGGTGAAGGGTTAGGGCCGCCGCCGCACCGCGCTCACTGTAAACACACTGTATCAGGCTTTATAGCAACGTGGGAGGCACGGCTAATGTGTCTTCCTCATATTGCTGGTCACTGGAATGCAGGCAGGGCCTTCACACTGGGTGTATTATTACCCTGTAACGCCTGGACTGGCTGTCTCTATAGTCCCTGGCAGCAGATCTGTATAATAATAATGGCAACACAGAACTGTCTATCTATCTATCTATCTATTTGTTCTGCATTCTAAATTCCAAAACACTACATTCTGTATTCTAGAAGAGAGTAGACCAGGTTGCATTATATAAACTTAGAGCACTAGTGCATTCTTTTACTTATTTCTCCAGTTTGAGTTGGCTGTAAGTTGAAGGACATGCCAGAAGAGACTGCATTGCATAACTAGATCATTTTAATATTTTAGCCCCCAAGTCAGTCCAGTGAGCTTACAGTCTATTTATGGTTAAAAAAGAAAAGTAACGTGTTTAACAGAAGGATTCCTGGCTGCGTACAATGTTTGTTCCTTGCTGATTGCTCCCAGATGAAGTCATGTTTTTAGAGTTTTCTCCCGGAACTGTGTGTGTAAGCGTATAACATTCCTTACGTAACATTCCTGTTTTTTTTTTTTTTCCTTGGGAGTTGTCTGTATCTGAGTGACATGGAGGGGCGTGTGTGTTTATTTTAATGGAGTTTGTAGTCTCCTGCCTGGAAAACTCATAATTTCCCTTGTTTTAACCAAGAAGACAGTCCCACTATTTCACTTTTTTTTTTTTTGGTTTGTTTTGTTAATATTTGGCATTCAGCCAGAGACTTTGCTCAGTTCGCCTGAGCCTATCCCCTTTATGCGCAGTCACTAGCTCTCTGTACTGAAGATCAAACATCAAGGCCTGACTAACAGGATTATTTGCTTAATTGGGAAATAAACAGGAAATCGTTGGTTCATTTTAAGGCAAGTTGAAAATAAATATGCCAGCTCAGCAATTTTCCTTATCATTTATTTTAAACCGTAACGTTTTGTGGTTCCCGGCAATTCACACTTTAGTGAATAACTAACTAATTTAATGTGTTGACCATTTGTAGTGCGTCTCTTTTTAGACGTTAAATGAAAACTTTTAATTCTGCTGTGTGTGCAGTTTTCCGTAGCTAGAGTATTCAGCATAACTCAGCATTAATCTGCTACCATATGATGTGTGAAGCCAGCATCCTACAACTTGTACTGTGCTCAGCACTTATTTCATTGCCTCTGCAATGTCCTGATGACCCTTCAGAGAAGTATTTAACATGGAAATGGTTTTAAAGCAGAACTGTCTGGTATCTGAAAGTGACAGATACTTGTTTACTCCCCCCCACTCCTCCCCAGTAAACCCTACTGAAGCATTTACTGGAGTGACTGATAAATCTAAATAGTGAATCGGAAGTTTGGTGAAAACATTGTTGGCATTGGAGCACTTGCAGGTTCAGGTTGTTGTTATTGCTTATGTGCGCTGGCGAATCTGTGTAAAAACACCGTATAAGAGCATGCACGCTTGGGCATTCCATTGACAGTCTGTACGAAGCACATGTGGCACTGTGGGGGTATATGTCATGTTACGTGTCATGTGAATACAGAATTTAATTATTTTATTTTTTTTTAAATATCCCAAACTAATAAGATTTGTTTTTAATGGAATAGAAGCACAAACTTACCTAACTTTAAGTTCGCTATTGGGTTGTGCAAAAACCTCAGTCGTGATAGTTCCTCTTTAAAGCATACCATACAAGGAATTGTGCTTTGAAAAAGATATTGAGGGGATAACTGATGCTCTTTGATATAAAAGATTAACAAGATTTTTCTAGTGAGCAGATAAAAGAACCATTTGGTTTTCTGAATTAAGTGTTGTTGTTTTTATGTTATGTTATGTTATTTTATATATATATATATATATATATATATATATATATATATATATATATATATATATATATATATATATATATATATATATATATATATAATTTATTTTATTTTTTTTAATATAAAGGCATTCGGGGGATGCAGAATTCCATACATAGAGCTTTCATAATTTCCTTTCTGATTTCTGTGCATTGGTGCCTCTTGGTTCTGGTTAGTTGATATCATTTTTAATGGTATCCTCACAGAGGCTGTATTTAGATGCAGTCATCTGTCAACCCCCACTAAAATGTGTATTTTATAAAGATAGAATCTTTATGAAATGTTAATTTTGACTGTGTTGGAATTTCACTGACTCAAAGTATCGACTGCATTTTGTCTGTGTATTTCCTCCCCTGACTTTCGCAGACTCTCCGCGGAGCTTTCACCAGACCCCCAGCAGCGGCGATGTCCCCATCTGGGGTGCTTACAAAGTCCCCAGACAGTGACTGTGACTGCCTTAAAAAGATACCCTGAGCTGACTCTGCTGAATTCTCATTTAGGAGTTAATTCACCTTTGTTTCTGTTTATGCAGACCTAGCCACACCTTCCTTGGTTGTTAATCTCACAGCCTGTTTGAAAAACATAGTTTAAAGGAACACTATAGTGTCAGGAATACAAACATGTATTCGAGACACTATAGGTTTGAAACCGCCGTTTATGCCTCTGCCTCCCCAGATTAAAAAAAAAGGAGTGAAAAAGCATTGGGAGGCTATTGCGCATGTGCTGCAAAATGCCACGCTGTGCCAATCCGCATCTCCTCATAGAGGTCATGCAGATGCTGATCCGGAAAGCACCTCTAGTGGTCGTCTGAGTTACGACCACTAGAGGTGTTTCTAGGCAGTAGTGCAATGTTTACATTAAAAAGCCTGCAGGGACAGGCACTAGACGCTAGACAAACTACATTAAGATGTAGTTGTTCTGGTTACTCTAGTGTCCCTTTAATTTTCATCAGATCTGACAACACAGTCTATATCTTGGGCATTTGTATCTCCTGTTCTGTTGATTGATTGAACTTTAGACACACACAGAACGCCATATACAGAGCTGGAGATGATAAATTCTAAGTTAAAGAAACACGGTAGGGTCAGTAACACAAATGTGTATTCCTGGCCCTAAAGTGTTAAAAACCTGCTTCCCCTCCATACTAGAAAACGTACCTTATTTTGAGCGTCACACAGGTCTGCCAGGGCGTGCTCCGCCTCATTGGCTGACAGCAGCAGAATTGATGATCTCAGCCAATCACAATGCTTTCCCATAGGAATCTCAACAAAGGAGGCGGGCTGGGCCAGAGTCAAACGCCGTCCTGGTCAATCAGCATCTCCTCATGGAGATACATTTAATCAATACATCTCTGCAGGGAAAGTTCAGTATCTTTATGCAGAGGATGGAAACACCGTCTGAGGAGAGGCCACTAGAGGTGTTCCTAGGCTAGAAAGACTGTGTTTACAGAAAAGGGGGAGGGTGGAAACATTGAAAATAAGGTGTGAGGATTTTTTGGCTTTGCTTTTATTTTTTTAGAGGGGGGGGGATTTCTTTTCTTTCTCAACAAATCTGATTTAATATGGTCCAGGCCTAGAATGGGCTTCTCGAAGATATGATCCTTGGTTAAAAGAAGTAAAATACATTTTTAAACACTACAAGAGTGATCAACCTTTACTGATTATAGACTATTTGTGTTTTTTTAAATAACATTCTACAAACCCATGTAATAAGTTTTTATACCTATCTAGACTGATATGTATACACTTTTTTTTTTGTTTGTTTTTTCAATCTGGACTATATTCCCCTTCTTGGGGTATTTTACCCAATTCTATTTTTAATACACCGATTTCTGACCACTATACCAAACTAAACTCTATATCCCATGCCCACTTCAAACTAATAAATAGCATTCTGCTAAATTTCTTTCTGCATGCTCTGCCAAATTTTACATTCTTTTTACACAATGGAGTGTATCTAAGTCCAGCAAGTTTAGTTTAGAGATTGACAAATAGTGCAGTGGTACCAATTAAACTAGGAAATTTATCCTGTTGCACAGATATTGGCCTTACCTAATTTGATGCCATTAGTGTGCTCGCTATTTGTTAATTTCGACACTGGGCTGATTTTTCTTTTGCAGACATGCTGTGTTTCAAGCTGGATCCTCCAGACATCGTGGCCAGCAAGTGCACAGTACAGCAGATGGTTACACACACTAACTTGGACCTAGCTGATAAATACATTAAACAAGCTAGTTTGATCTTTGCAGCATTGTCTTACTACAAATAGTTTGTGATTACAACCATTTTTTTTTAAAAGTAAGGCTCAAATTTGGCACTAGCCATTGATAACTGAAAATGTATCCTGGTGAATGAGTTTTGACCTTTTTCAGTAACTTTCGAGGCCTGGCTAGTAACTCAGGCCTTGAATTGGTATGTAAGCCCTATCCCAGGCTTCCATGTCCCCTATAGAATTACTGTGCATGTCCAATATTCTAAGGCTCTGTAGGAGTTTATAGTTTTATTATAAATGGGGGGGAGGACACAAACTGAACTGTTTGACAATGGAATTATACCAGTAGTACCTACACAACTTATTTTTATACCGTTCCAAAGACAAATTGTGTAATTTTATGCATTTCATACCCCTGCCCGATCCACTGCTGCTGAGAAGATTATACGATACTCTCAGAATGCTTAGTCAGATATGCAAAGAGCACAAACTGCCTTGTCATGTTTTTAGAATTGTAGCCCATGGTTTTTGTAAGTTGCATTGGCAAAGACCTGGACTGAAAACCCAAAAAGTGACAGTGCAGTATGTGTTCTTTTGCCTATCTTGCATGTTGTATGAGAGATTATTTAGTGTTTGTGTAACCCAGGCAGATTTAGAGGGACTCAGGTGCCCTCCGCAGCTAGAGATAAACAAGAACTGAACGAAATTAAGGGTACTTTTTAAGGTCTTGAAGAGTAGGCAAAGGTGTACTGTGACACCAGGAAGCTCTTCTGTTTTTGCCTAATCACTTGTCTTGTACTTATTTGGAATATTGTTCAAGATCACAGATTCTTCAGAGTATGTTCATATTGTATAATAAACTTGAAACATTCTTGCTCTTAGCACAACAAATCAGATAGATGGTGTTTCCATAACTTCCCAGTATACAGTACAAAGTACAGAATAAGCACTGGCAACGGTGCTACTAATTCAGAAAGGTACAAAAAATAGGAAATCTGTACATTAAGGTACACTTTAGACACTCTCTGGTTACTTCATCTAATTTAAGTGGTCTGGGGGCAGTGTCCCTGCCCTCCTAGCCTTCCAATATAAAACATTGCATTGTTGCATTGCAGCGGAGAATTTCCTTAGGGCATAGCGACACTATAGCGTTAGGAATACAGTTTTGTGTTCCAGTCTTCTAATATTGACTTTAATTTAATAAGCTTTGAAGATCAATTATTTGAGGATTTTTCCTAACAGTATGGAGTCTTTTGGAAAGCTTATTAAATTAAGACAATTCCTTGGCAGTGCCCTCCCTGGGTGTGTAGACAAATGGTTTGACATCTTACTGGGGCTCTGCCAAGTGCTTGTAGCCACCTCTCCTGCTGCCTGGAAAGCTCTGCACTGAACCAAGCCCTGCAGAGCAGGGAGGTGCTCATTGGCTGAGAGTGGTCAGCTGATGCTCTCAGCCAATGAGCAGACCCTACATGGTATCTCAGAGCTAATGGAAGCTTCACAGAGGTCAGCAGTAGGCACCTAGCAGATTCCCAGGTAAATTACCAAACATTTGACTACTTACTTTGGTAGGTTGCAAAAGCACCCCTGGTACCATAACCACTACAGCAAGGTGTAGTTGTTATGGGGCTTGAAGAGTTCCTTGAATTTAATCTCAGGAATGGCCTTCAACACAGACATATTGACACAATATTCACTCATGGAAGCAAAAATTTAAATTTGAAGCTACACCACTTGTTGTTAACCATTTGTATTCTGTAACTTTACTGTCCCTTTAAAATTTTGAAATTTAGTGGGGAAAATATACAATGATGAAACATTGTATATACCCAGATGCAGATTATTTAATTCATTTTAATTTATTATGCAAACAAGATTTACTTTTTTTTTCAGTATATGATAGGATATTACAGTAGTGTGTGTGTGTATATATGTGTATATATATTAGTGTGTGTGTGTACATGTACATTTTTTTTGTTTTTCTTTTTTTTTTTAACTTCCGCTTATTCTGTGGCTGCATGTTATTTCCATTTCGTCCTCTGGTCAAGTAACTTCCTTCAAAAAAAAAAAGAGAACCTTGTGACAGATCTGTTAGCAAGTTAATGTTTAACTCAAAAGAGGTGGATATTGTGAATAATTCTGCTGTTTTTGTGAGGCGGGAGAACAGACTAAGTCGGTACGATACTGGCAGGTACTGAGGGATACACAAAATAGTAAATATGACTTCTCGTAACCAGAGGAAAAAACTAAAACAAGGAAGTGCTTCTTTAAAAAAATTTTTTTTTTTAGTTATCTTTTCGTTAACAATTTAACTATGATGGGCTCTACAGCATGTTGCTTTACAATATCTTTGGCAACCATTTTTAGCATTCATAGTGTTTTAATTGAGTATTTTTTTAAAATTCAGAATTTTCAATTAATTACTTTGATATATTTGTGTATTTTTATTTTTGAACGCCGATTATCATGGGACAAGTGTAATACTCATCATGCGTGTTTGTTGTTGGACTACAAATCCTATCCGGCATGGATAGGCTACTTTTTGCATTGCCGTCCTAAAACATCTGAATATATATATATCCCCACAGTGATGTTAAAGGTAGGGGGAAGTGCTAATGCTAGGAAAGGGTGTCAAAATGATATGATTACAAAATAGAAGTCTGTGCTTCTCTTTTTTTTCTTTATTTTTGTTGTGCATGTGAGTACAAATCGACTTAACACCACAACAGCGTATACTTTGACATTTCAGTGAAACGGTGGCAGAGAAAAACTTTGCACATTTTTAAATAACTAACAGGCTTAAACTTTTAATATGTCACAAGTTGAAGAGTCGGGTGACAAGATGTGGTGGGCATGCGTGCGTGTAGGTAGCTCAATTTGCAGGTGATAATCAGGCGTAAACTTACAAATGTGTCGCTAAGTTAGAGTTGAATGATAATATGTGTAGGACATGCGTGTGTTCTGGCTTGAGTGTGTAGACTTAATTTGCATGTTGTAAACAGGCTCAAGTTTCCTATCACATCACATATGTAGAGAGTTGGGTGATAACATGTCTTGGTGTTGATTATATAGGCTCTGTGCCTAAGATTAAGCTCAATAAGATAGGTAATGATGCATGAGGGTGAACATGCTGTGCTAATCAGGTTAACCTGAGCCCATAAGAATGCTGAATATGAGTATGCTAACTGACTGTTAGAGTATTGACCGTGCCTTCAGCTGTGGAAATTAAGAGTATAAAGAGAGATAAACATAAAAGAAAAACAGTTGGTTTAGCAGGTACTATGAGGTAAGATTGTAGGAGTCATCCCCTGGGATAATTGGGAAGGTCCCCCTTCTGGCCTAGTTTCATCCAATGCCGCTTCTGTAGGGCCTCGAGTGTCTTAGGTATAAGTCCGCCACAAACTGGACCAGGTCAAGGACTGGGGTGTTGCATTCTGGGCTCCTGACAGCGCACCCTCCACATTGCAGCCGTGTCTTTTCACTTTGTGGGAAGGAGAGGAGAGAATGTATGGCAGCGGTGTGACCCCGTGCCCGGCTTCCAACAGCTGCTGCTTGCGGCTGGGAGGTAGGAATGCTCTCTCGTGTTTGGCAGTGCGATAAGCTGTTTACGGGGTGCGTTGTGCTTGAGAGAATGGGGCCTTCTGATGCGGCATTGTCTCTTAGGTGGGGCTGTATGCTTGTGAGGGGGTGACCTCGGGGCGAGTCTCCGTTGTGGCTTGAGGTGACTCACCAGCGGGCGAGGATTGGGGTGCTGTAGCTTGCGCCTTGATCTCTGCATCGCCGCGTAGGGATCCCCTCTTTGTTGCTTGCTTATGGTAGCTGGTTTCGGCCATGTGTGTGGGTGACCCGGTGGTAGGTTAGGTCTCTGTGTGTGTGTATACTGCGATCTATGCCAGTGTTGGGCCTTAGGCTTCCCTAGAGGCCCCTTCCTCCTCCGTGGTGCCGGTCAGTCGTCCGGGTGTTGGGCTGCTGGCCGACTGCTGAGTTGCGGTTTCTGCCCTGGTGGGTTAGTACTTTGTAGTGGGGTAGGTTGATGTAGCCTGCGTGCCATCTTCTTCCAGAACCACTCAGAATGCTTGTTCAGCCTTGCCTGAAGGTCGTGTGCAGCCCCAGTGGGGTTCTCGGCGCCTGCAGTTTCCGCCATCTTGGGTGAAACTCTGCTCTCTCTTTTTACCCACGAGGCGGTCTTTAATGCTTCAGCATGCCTGGGGTAGCCTCTGCTGGGTGGACCGGGATCTCCCCCACCGGTCCAAAAGGGGGGGGGTGGGTGGGTAACTGGGTCTGCTCGCTTTGTAGGTATCGTAAGAGTCCCTCCGGGTTGGGAGAGCAGACGCCTCTCCCGCCCGTTGTGTGCTATGCCGCTCTGTCGGTCGCGGTGTGAGCGGGTCTCAAGTAGGTCTTCCACTGCACGCCCTCCATTGCGGGGTGCTTGAGATTTATGTGGTACCGCTGTTTGGGTCGTCAGATACCGCCTTATTTCGCTTGTTTTGCCATAGTTGAGCCTGAGCTCTTGAGAATCATGACTCTTCACCATGATGGTTAGGCCCTGCCCCCCAGAAGTCTGTGTATCTAATGTAGTCTTCAAGGTTTTTACATTGTTATAGTAATGATAACTATATTTAAATAAATATCAACATCTAATATTCATAGGATTATTTACGAAAGTGAATTCCAAATTTAAGACCAAAATAGCTCAAATGTAAAAAGAAATCTTCGAGTCACTTGTTTCCAGTTCATTTGTTTAGGTCTAAAATGTGAAATACACTTTAAAAAAAAAAAAAAAAAAAAATTCTCTCTGACAATTCATGCTTTAGTAAGTATAGTGTATATTTTCCCTTGATTGAAAATCTGAACAATATTAATATTAAGTAGTAGCTTGATAGACTGAAAAATATATACATAACTTTTTATTTGATATTTTTGTCAATTTCACAATGCCTGTTATATCACCTTTACATATTTAATACGATCAAAAAATGCCAATCTGTCAATGAAGCAGCAGTGACAGAAATTCCTGTGATATAATTGTCATTCTGATCACAAGGAAACATGTGCTACTGCTGTCATTGTGTGACCTAAACTATTTGGCTGTGTTTTGGCCACGGGGAAAAATGCATTTTTTTATTTTTTATTTTTAAAGTACATCCTGTTTTTTTCACATTCTCTTTGGGTTTTTGAAGAGGGAAAAAAAATATATATTGTAAAACTCTAGCAGACCTTTAAATAGCTCAGCAGCTAATTACAGCATGTTCATTAGAAGCACGAGTTACATTTTCTAATTTAAGTTTGTTGAACTCCCTGTTAAAAGGATATTGTGTATGCCATTTTTTTTTCCTTATATTAATAGCAGCCGTAAAATAAGTGAGTTTGCCTATGCTTTCACAGGGACAGGCAGCCCTATATTCTAAAATTAAAATATAATTTGCAAGCATATTTTAATCCAGCCTGCTAGCTGAGTAAGTGTATTAATGCAGGGCTCGATAAATCCCAGGTCGCCATGGCGACCACGTGTCAGCCCCTTAGTTAAGTCCTACCTGCAGCTCCTCTCTGCTCCTTTGCGCGTTGTTTAATGATGCCGGGAGCCAGAATATGACGTCAGTCCAGCCCGGCATCACTGCAGAAAGCAGGAGGGAGCAGAGAGGAGCTGCAGGTAGATTACTGCTCCATCACACTCAGGAAGAGAGAGCAGCCCCACTGGACCCCAGGGAAAGATCCACTCAGCTCTCCCAAAGGTAGGGAGACTGAGTGGATTTCAATTTAAATAAAATGTGTGTGTCTGTTTAGATACTTGCCTCCCTCCAATCGCACAAGAAAGGTAAAATTTAGTTTTGTGGGGGTTTTTTTTGTTTTGTTTACCTTTTTTTTTATTTTTATTTTTATTTTATTTTATTTTTTTACGCCGTGCCGGTGGTCCTTATGTCTTTATGATTTCAGCGAAGCAAATACTTTCCTGTGTGAATCAATGCATCTCTATGGGGAACATTCAATGTCTCCATACAGAGTGTGGAGACGTTGAACGTAGGTGCTGTACACTGTGCAGCACTGACCAAGGACACTCTAGTAGCCATCTCAGCGACTGTTACTAGAGGTGTTACGAGGCAGCAATGTAAAAAACTGCCCTTTTTCTCTGAAAAGGCTGTTTCCATTGAAAGTGCTGCTGATACAGGCTAACTACACCAGAACAACTACATTAACCCCTTAAAGGACCACTATAGTGCCAGGAAAACATACTCTTTTTTTTTTTCTGGCACTATAGTGCCCTGAGGGTGCCCCCACCCTCAGGGTCCCCCTCCTGCTGGGCTCTGGGGAGAGGAAAGCGGTTAAATCTTACCTTTCTTCAGCGTCGGGCAGGGAGCTCTCCTTCTCCTCTCTGCCTCCGATCCTCCTCCTGGGCTGAATGCACATGCGCGGCAGGAGCTGCGCGCGCATTCAGCCGATCTCATAGGAAAGCATTTACAATGCTTTCCTATGGACGCTTGCGTGTTCTCACTGTGATTTTCACAGTGAGAAGCATGCAAGCGCCTCTAGCGGCTGTCAGTGAGACAGCCACTAGAGGATTTGAGGGCTGGATTAACCCATTTATAAAGATAGCAGTTTCTCTGAAACTGCTATGTTTATAAAAAAAAAAATGGGTTAACCCTAGCTGGACCTGGCACCCAGACCACTTAATTAAGCTGAAGTGGTCTGGATGCCTAGAGTGGTCCTTTAAGGACTCGTGACATGTCATGATTCCCTTTTATTCCAGAAGTTTGGTCATTAAAGGGTTAAGCTGCAGTTTTTAGCTGGCTCCTAGATTCCAAACTAATTTATCAAGCCCTGATATAAATGTGTAATATTTTCTGAAATCCAGTTCTATCGCTGGGGGGCACAAATAAATGCACAAAATGTTTTGCATGTTCTCTCTCTACCTATGGCAAGGCTATTCACTAAACTGTGAATTGTTGGGAATTAAAAGTAAATTGCAAATTTTAGGCCAATATGGCTGAAGGAAAAATATAATTTGGACAATTATTGTCCAATATATTAAGTTATAAAATTCTGTGTTTTTTTTATTGTACAATCCTGTGAGCATCCTGTGAGCATTCTGTGATACTTTGACTACAAACTCAATTGCTTGAGTATAATAGGAATTGCAGTCCAATATGTGGACAGGTAGATATTATTGGGCTAAAAGCCATTAAAAAAAAAAAAAAAAATTATATATATATATTTTTTTTTAATAATAATATTATCTTTATAGAGCGCCGTCAAATTCCGCAGCGCTTTACAATGGAGATATATATATTTATATTTATTTCTTGATGGAACTGTTCCTTTATGTGGTAGAAAGAAGCAATGTTTTTGGAGTATTGGCAATTATAGTGATTATGAAATACAGTAACTTGTGAATTATTACACACTCCCCCTCTCCCCTTTTCAGTTTTAAACTATATTTATTTTATCATAAACAACCTCTCGGCCTTCAATAAAATGAATGAGACAAAATGGTGATCCAACTTGGCTGTATAGTCATTGGGTTTGTGTTTTAATCAGATAATTTTGTGTGCTTAAATGGGAAATAATTGCAGATGTTACAAAGCTTTGGTTGGCACTGACGTGCAGGGTCTGTGTATCGTATTTAAAAAAGAAAAAAAGTCTTCTCTACTTGTCCAATTGATTGATTAACAAATTCTAAAAAACTCAAGCTACATCGGAAAGCCATACAGCTTCCCAGGCTCTCGCTATTCTGTTCACATATAGCAAGATCAGTGGCAGCCAGGTGAAACATTTTAGTTTAATGCCAGGTATTTTTGTAATGACTTGGAATATATTTTGGTCCCTGCAATGTAAAGGTTATAGGTCAAAACACTGACCGCCATTGGAATTGTATTAGAAAGTTGAAATGGCAGTCTATTTACTCTATTTATTCTTGGTCACTTTCAGAAAGCTTAAAAACAACAAGGTGAAAATGTCAGACGGACTTTCTTCTAAGGCCTTAAAGGTACTGAATTTGCCTGTCTTGTTATTCATTTCCTTGTACACTGTTTGTCATCATCACAACTTAAGAATACTCACACCCACCTTCATTATAGCATGAGGAAGTAATAAATATGCTCACCCTTTGTCGCTCTTGTTAGAAAATAGGAAAATCTTATGTGCCCTGTTGTAATTGTGGGACTATTTTGTGAAAGACATATTTTGAGAACAGATGTAGTTTCATTGTACACCCATACATGACTAACAGGCCATCATGTATTGTACATCAAAATATGTGGGTTTTTGTTTCGGGTTTGACACAATATTTACTTAAAGGACCACTTCAGCTCAATGAAGTGTTCTAGGTGCCAGGTCCCCCAGGTTTTAACCCTTCAGATGTAAACATAGCAGTTTCAGAGAAACTATGTTTACATGGCAGGGTTAATCCAGCCTCTAGTGGCTCTTTTACTGACAGCCGCTAGAGGCGCTTCTGCGACGCTGGATGCGAAAATCGCATCTGGCGTGCAGAACATCCATAGGAAAGCATTGAGAAATGCTTTCCTATGGACTGTTTGCGCACGCGGCTCTTGCCGCGCATGCGCATCCCACTCCAATCAGGCGCTGACATCGGCAGGGGAGGAGAGGTCACCAGCGCCGAAGGAGCCTGGTGCTGGATTAAGGTAAGTAACTAAAGGGGTTTTAACCCCTTCAGCGCAAAGGGAGGGGGGCCCTGAGGGTGAAGGGTCCTAAGGAGTATAGTGTCAGGAAAACCAGTTTTGTTTTCCTGACACTTTAGTGATCCTTTAATATATTTATAGGCTTTCCAGAATGTTAAAATTTAAATTTAATAAAAGTGTGTTTGAGGTGTGATTTTAATTTAAAAATCCACAACTCTTAATCCAGCAACTAGGGGCCTCCCTGTCAGTCATTGTTAAAAGCTCTGTCCTTTGCTTTGACCTGGCAGTCAGCATAGAGAAATCCTAAGAGAAGAGGAGAAATTAAACAATGCTTCTATTCCACCTTTTAGTTTCCAGTGTTTGCCCTGGCTTTACTTTGTCTAAACTTCGTGATGTAATTTGCTATATATTTATAGGGACACTTTAGGCAGCCAGACCACTTCATTTCATTGAAGTGGTCTGGACGCACTGTTCCGGTTCTCTTAACCCTGCAATGTAAAACATTTCAGCTTTAGAGAAACTGCCTCTACATTGCAGGGTTACGGCTGCCTCTAGTGGCTGTCTACCAGAGGAGCTTCCTGCAGTTTTACAGTTTTGTATGAGGATGTCCAGCGTGTTGAAGAACCCAATAGGAAAGCATTCAGTCAAGCGCCCAGCACTGAGGGACATCTGCACTGGAATCGGGTAAGTGTTTGTTTAAAGGGTTATTAACCAATTAATAGCCACAAAGGGATGGGGTAGGGGTGAGAAGGAGTAGTGTTTCTTTATTATAAATTTCTGTATCAATCTCCTCCCCCTCGCCCGTGATGTAACTTGACAAAAGGCAGGGCTAACAGTGTCCAGTTTTATCATTGTCTGTGTAGGATCTCGCGGGATCCTCTATAGACCTCAGTGCTGCACTCTTGTGCATGTGCAAGAGTACAGCACTGATGTGGGCATCTGGCAGATAAAACATTAGGCTCTAAAGGAGTCCGGCAGATAGACCATGTCGGCAGCCACAAAGAACAGGTTCAGGTAAGTAAAACTCCCCTTCCTTCTACACCCTGTGGCCATCATTCATCCAGCAGAGCAGTTGGGGATCTTTGCAAAATCGGCAATGACCACAGACTGTGATAGAGGTGATAGAGATGCTTTAAAAAATTAACACAAGTTAAGATGATTTTTCAAAGTCTAAGATCCCCTTTATTTATTTGTGACTTTCCTGCAGGTTTGTTTGTTTGTTTTTTAGCAGCCAGACTGAGAGAATCCACAATGTTACACATTCTGTGACCTCATCAAAATGTCTTGCAATATGTATGTACTTCTAGTACCATATTAATTATTATGGTATAATGTAAATGGAGGCACACTTTAATGCTTTTGGTACACAATGCATTGTAAAATGAAAATTAGATGTATTTTTAAATCTGATTCTCCTGTTTTTCTGTAGGTGAAAAGGGAAATGGGGGAGAACATGCCAATGCTCTCTGATGATGAGTTGATGTCCATGTCAGTTCGTGAGCTAAACCACCACTTGCGTGGCTTGTCCAAGGAAGAGGTAGTGAGACTAAAGCAGAGGAGAAGGACCCTGAAAAATCGGGGCTATGCTGCAAGCTGCCGCGTCAAACGTGTTTCACAAAAGGAGGAGCTAGAGAAGCAAAAAAACGACCTGCAACAGGAAGTCGAAAAGCTAGCGCAGGAGAACTCCACCATTAAACTGGAGCTGGATGCACTGAGAGCCAAGTACGAGGCTCTGCAAAACTTTGCTCACTCAGTGTCCCGGGGAGCGATCACTCCAGCTAAAGTGGCCGCCACGAGTGTTATCACCATCGTCAAGTCTTCAGGAAATTCTTACTCTTAACAGAAGACAAGCTGTTCATCTATCCCTATTCCCATCTCACCTCATCAAAAACTTACAACAACATAGCAGATTTCACAAACGGCAGCCTTAAAAAGCTGGGCATTGATACGAGGCCTCTATAACTTGCCGTCAAAGGTTCACTCTTGCCATATGGAAACTGCAGATCGGATCTGTCCTACTGTCATTACTGTGAGGCAGATGGTATAGAATTGTGGTGCAATAGCTCCAAGTTACTAATGCAAATTTATGAATGTAAAGGGAATGATTGAGGACCTCAATTGTATGTTTTCGTGCATGTAATGGGTATGTTACGACCAACATAACCAGAAAGATTACTTTTGGTATTGAAATATGATAGAAAGGCACTGAAACGCTGAGTACTGCTAACCAAGAGCAGATTTTAAAGTCACATGTTTCGGGTAGAGCATTAGTAGCTTTACCAATGTGGAGCTGTGTTTGCTACACATTCTGCGTCCAATCACTATATCAGCACTTGCCCCAATGAAGCCTGGTACCAGTGGAACACACATCCAAAAGGATGGATAGCCGGATGGGTCATGTTGAGAACAGATGGATGAGGCTGATGGGAGTTGTTCTGTAATAGCAGTAAGGTTACATGGAACCTAACATTAAGGTATTCATGTTTAAATGTTGAATACTTTAACCCCTTAAGGACACATGACATGTGTGACATGTCCTGATTCCCATTTATTCCAGAAGTTTGGTCCTTAAGGGGTTATATAGACTCCCAGTCTGAATATTTTGGGGATGAGTTGAGATGTAATGATGGAATTGAGAAAGTAGAATATTGATTTCAAGGATCAGTAAGTGTTGAAGGACAAATGAAAAGTATACGATTTTTATTTATTTTTTGAATGTGCAAGTTTGTCAGCATACCACCAACTAATATTTAATAGTCGTGCGGAGTTCTGACACACACCCCCACACCCACCACCACCACCAATTAGGAGATCTTAGAAAAGATGGACAGAGGTGACTGTCCAAAATGGGGACAATTAGCAAGGATGCATACAAGTAAAGGTTTTAGTATGCAGTAAAATGAACATAATGATGGCTTTCTCAGGATGTCAGCAACTTCTTGTTTTAAGAAATTATGACAGTGAAAAAGTCCAAAACCAGTGTAATTTCCATGTCTTTATAGATTTCATCAAACTCATCTGGCAATACATAGTATTATTGTACCTGAAATTTAACTCCAACAATAGCCAAGTTTATTTAATATTAAAATACTGTTAATCTTAGATTTGAGCATATTGCTCCTGTAGAAGAGGCAAACTTAACTGTTGCTCCCAGTGCACTACGTATATCTCTGCAGATCCATGTCGTGGTGTTTTTTTGTTTTTATTTGTATTCTTAGTCATTTGACAGTTGATTCCTTGCTGGCAGCATGCTTAACACTTACATTTTGAGGCACAAAGCATGGGATAACTTAGTTATAAATTATGGGAACCTCCGATATGTTATTTCAAGTGACCCTGTCGATGGTGCATTAAAATGGTAATGCTGTACAGCCCAATAAAAAATAAAATACACGTCATTTCACCTAATCTTAATTAGTGTTAGGTATGCATCATTTTAAATTTTGTCTCTGCACAATAGAAATGTTGTCCATGTCTCATCTAAGGGTCTAGTGGAGAACGTTGGCAATTACCTGAATGCTTTAATGAAAAGTTATGACCAGAAGAACACGAAAATTTAAAGGGACTCTATTGGCACCCATACCACTTAATGTCAGTGGAGTTGTCTGTTTAACTCTGCAGCTGAAATCACTGCTGTTTTGCAGGAATTGTATTTTTTTCATTGCTTCCACAGCTGTAACAGAGTTAAGCTCTGTTAACAGCTCACTCATATGACTCTCTTTGAGAGCATTTGATTGACTCAGCGTGGAACTTTACTGCGCTTTCACAAAGTTAAAACTTTAAAAACCCTGAAAGGTGGCGTGTGCACTTACATAGATAGGGGGGCACTATAGCGTTAGGGATACATATTCCTAATGTTCTTGTACTCATTTAGCATAAAATCGTGAAGAAAGACACTGAATGTTGACAATGGGTAGAGGTTATGTTTTATGATCCGATATATAACTGAGATCCTTCTGGTTTGTGAGACAGAACTGGTGCCATGCTTCATATCGGGCTCATCAATGCCGTCCCAGCTCAATTTTAAGCCAGTTCGTATCTGTAAATGCCTATAAAGCTGGAATTGAACAGCTGTGTTTTTGCTTTAAGACTCAACTCCCTAGGGTAGTTTTGGTTAACTTATGCAACCCAGGTATCTGTGTACTACATTCTCAGTGAAAAACCCATCTTCATGGCCATATAAGCTCGCAAACATCTGGGCTATCAAGGCTTGCCATTTCTACCCTAGGGAAATAATTTAATTCATTTTGCATTAAATACTGGTGCAAGGTACTTTGACTATTGTCTTCAGGACATCACAAAATAATTTACTGTAAAAGATGAAGTGAGTGTGTTCCTCTTTCTCAGAGAAACATTAATATTTTAGCTGCTTTAATCCTTAATTTAGATGACACACAAGATGGACTGCAAACCATCTTGTTCTATAAGATGCTGTTGAAATATTCCAGGCAATTCCTCCCTGGCTAACCCAGTTACCGGGAGGAAGAGCTCCTTCTTATTTATGTTTGAGACGTTTTATTTTTTTGTATATTTATATATTATTTTTATTTTAAAGATTATAGGGAAAGGGGCGGGGAAATGCTTAATTTAAATATTAAATATATGGTATGTTTGTCTATTCGATAAACAAAATTGAAAATGTTTTATGTTGACAAAAAATAGCATTATTGTTTTGAACTTAGAGTAGAGTTGGGATTCAGGGCGTTCAATTAAAAGTCATGGAGGTGACCGGGTGTAGAACCATAAATTCAAGACCAGATAACGATTTTGTGTGTGAATAAACTATTGTCACTGGCAGACCAGTACACTTTGGGGTTTATTCAGTAAACCAGGAATTGAGAAGAATTGCTTTTCATCCTTGAAAAATGGGTACCATTAAGTTTGGAATAACACCTAGACCTTAGATGTATTTGGAAGTAAACGAAAAGCTAAAAGTTTATTTTCAAGTCTGAGTTTAGTAAATAAGCCCCTTTTGTGTCTATTTCCTTTTGGTATCATAGCTATCTTTATTGCTGCAACACTGGAAAAAAATGAAATGCTGGATGAACTTTACTGATTTTTGCTTTATGTAGTTAAAAGTACAATCTCTAGAAATCAATAGTATGTAAGGATGCCTACCCATATAGCCACTCCCAATTGGAATATCAAAATTTGCAGAGATGTTGTTCTGTTTCAAAATTCTTTTGATGGGTAAATCCCATCCTCATTCATTACAGGAGAGCTTTTATCAACTGGCCCCTAATTAACCCCTAGATCTGACTGACTGCCATTTTCAAATGCAGTGAAATCTATAACTCTTCCAGACAATTCGATGTATTGTTTATCAATAGAGTGAGAAGTCTAGCTTTACCACCACACTTGGCGGGTTATTAACCTTTTTAAGGATCAATGTCATTTTTTTGAGGATATCTGTTGGTTGCTGAAGGCCATATGTTGGCAAAGATTGCATAGCACTGGTTTATTTAGAAAGACCTGCTTTCGCCAAGTAAAATGGTGATTTCCATTTTGGAATAGGATCTTTATAAGGCCATATGGCGGTAATGCTATGACTGCTTGCTTAGACTTGGAAACATTGGTTTTTAAAAAGTTAATTTATCATTTTCTCCATGAACAGGTGATGGTTCTATATATGAACCCTCTAGCACACTGTCTTGCTTTCGTAACATGCTAGGAGGATACATTTTATTTATTAGTTCTGTCTCCTGGCCTGTAAAGTGCTACGTACCAATGTTGGTAATACAGCATCATAATAAGTAAAAAATAATGTAGTGTAATGCTGGCTTACCCTTATATTTACTCATTTACCATAATCTCCCAGTTCTGCTTTCATCCCTGAAAGCCATGATGGCTTCATTGGCAGCAAGAGGGGTAAGCTATAATAATGCGATTTTACTTGCTATTACTGTCTAGTTATCAAGGCAGATTGGTTTGGCATTGATAATATTGCCAGATTGGATGAGTGGCGGGCTTCTGGTATGGTATTTGTGTGTCGTCCTTCTGATACACGTGCACAGTACTTATTCTGCGTTTATAAATCTCATGTATTGAATGTTTTTCATATCTAATATATATATGTGTGTGTGCGTGTATGTATGTAAATATGTGTGTGTGTGTGTATATATATATATATATTGAATGGTATTTATTTTTATGAAACATTTTAAAGTCCCTTTATAAGTGTATTTTATATTGTTCAAATAAAGCATTTTTCACTTAAATTGTATTGAATCTGTAGTGGTTTGTTTTTTCTTTATAGGGGTCACCTAGCCACTGTGGTTGGCACTATATTGAGGGAAACCCTGGCTGGGTTGCATACACTTGACTTTCAAACTGCCAAGGGTTTTTATTTGTTTTTGTTAAACTATTTGCTTCAACTATTACTATTTAGCAGATCTACCCAAAATAAAATAAAAATGCATGTTTTATTTGGGGTATATCTAAAAGCAGCAGATTGCAAGCCCTCCCCTTCTAACTCCGCCCCAGACTTTTAGTAGCTGTCCAATCACAGACTTCCCAATGCAGCTCAGTGAGAAGGCTTTGCAAGGCAGATGCTCTGGGCAATTGTTGACTCTTTGTTTAGCTCCACTGAGCTAACCAAACCAGGAAGTAACAGGATAGGTTCTCTGTTTGAAAGGCAGGGGGGGTGTAAATAGGTTAATATGATAAAAGTGCCAATTGTAATTTCAGTCTGCTTTAATGGGCCAAGACAGACTCTCTAATGAATAACATTGGGAGGCAAAAAGGGGGAAAGAGAAATGCACTCTGCCTACCTTTTTTTTTTTTTCTTTTTTTTTTATCTAAAGCCAGCCAAAGTAAAAATCTACTTTAGTGATGTGTATCCACAGCATCTGTGGTCTGGGACGCACAAAGCATTCATCTCCAAAAATGGGCATCGTAGTTTCTAGGGAGGAGGCTGATTCCCAAGTTCCTAGGCATGTCATTCAGTCTCCTTAGTTGGTGTGTGATGATGAAGGGGAAGTTTTCATTGCAGGGGTCAGTAAACTGTCAATACAGCTGGGACACCCCTGAGATTGCTGTATAGGCTGGAGGCCCCTCTGGAAAAAATTGTATGCAGGAATGGAAAATACCCTGTAGAAATGCTGGCTAGTTTGTAACGATGACACCTGTTATATTGGGTTCCCTGTTCGAAGAGTTCAATTGTCACAATGGAGTATTGCCACACCAATGTCCTATTTTGAAAATAATGGAGTTTGTTTTTTCCTGATATTTAGCGATATTAAATGGTGACTTATCAGAGGGTGTATTGTGCTGCTGTGACCACTGAACTCCTCTGTGAAGTCTGTTTTGGGGGCTTTCACCAAATCATTCAGAAGGAATACACTAGAATTGGCTAGATGGTAACTTGGGCATATTTTTACATCTAAATGACTAGTTACATTGGTACTGTACTGAAATCTTATATAGTTTATCCATGTTGTAGGCTTTGACGTTGCCAAACTTTGCTTCATGATAAATTCAGATTACATAGTTTCATAGCTGAAAAGAGACTTGCGTCCATCAAGTTCAGCCTTCCTCACATGTTTTTGCTGTTGGTACAAAAGAAGGCAAAAAACAGTCTAAAGCGCTTTCAATTTTTGCAACAAACTAGGAAAAAATTCCTTCTTGACCCCAAAATAGCAGTCAGATGTCTCCTTGGGTCAAGCAGCTATTACCCCACTAATTAGATTATTTCACTGTATGTTATGTATTTATCCAATTGCTGTTTAAACATCTGTATGGACTCTGAGGCACAGTTTTCCAAACTAAAGAGATTTAATTTTTTTAACATTTCTTCATAACTAAAATGCTCCATTCCTTTTTATCAATTTTGTAGGTCGTCTCTGCGCTTTTTCTAGTGCCATAATGTCCTTCTTTAGAACAGGTGGCCAAAATTGCACAGCATATTCAAGGTGTAGTCTTACCAGCGATTTATAGACAGGCAAAATAATTTTTCTTTCTGAGAATTTATGCCCCAATTAATACATGACAAAATCTTACTGGCCTTGGCAACTGCAGATTGACATTGCATATTGCTGCCTAATGTGTTGTCTATAACAATTCTTAAATCCTTCTCGTGTGTTGTTATCCCTAATTCACTACCCTTTAGGGTGTAAGTTGCTTGTGCATTCTTCACCCCGAAGTGCAAAACTTTGCATTTCTCTACGTTACGTTTCATCTGCCATTTTAGTGCCCAGTCCCCCCCCCAATCTATCTAAATCCCTCTGTAGCAAAGCAATATCCTGCTCACATTTTATTACTTTACAAAGTTTTGTCATCTGCAAACACTGACATGTCTTCCAATGCCGATTTCAAGATCATTTATAAATGTTAAATAGAAGCGTTCCTAAAACAGAACCCTGATGGACACCACTTACCACTTTTGTCCAGCCTGAAAATTTACCATTGACAACTCGTTGTACTCTATCCTTGGATAACCTGCATTCATTAAAATGGAATACTTTCTACTTTGAGACACATCTGGGAATCAAAAGGTCACTCTGAGCAACGATTTTACATACCGTATATACTCTAGTAAGACGAGTTTTTCTGCACATTTTTGTGCTGAAAAAACCCCACTCGTCTTATACTCGAGTCAATGTCTGCATTATGGCAACTTACATTGCCATAATACAGACAAGGACTGCCGGGCTCATTACAAGCCCGGGGGTCCTGTTGGGGGCTGGCAGAGAGCTGTAACTTACCTTTCCTGCAGCTCCTGTCAGCTCCCTTCTCTCTCCTTCGGTCCAGTCAGCTCCTCTGCAAGTCTCGCGAGAGGCGCGGGGTCAGAGCGTTGCCACAGGTTACCGTGGCAATGCTCCGCGCGGCAGGGGAACTGACCGGAGGAGAGAGAAGGGAGCTGACAGGAGCTGCAGGAAAGAATGAGAGCCCCCCTCCCTGGCCAGGTATTAAGCAGGGAGGGGGGACGAAAAAAATAATTTAAATAATACAAAATAACAAAAATATTAATACATAAAAATGCCCTCCCCCCACCAAGGCTCTGCTACACACACACACACACACACTCTGCATTCATTATATACACACACTGTAAATATTCAATTAATATTTTTGGGGGATCTAATTTCATTTAGAAATGTATCAGTAGCTGCTGCATTTCCCACCCTAGTCTTATACTCGAGTCAATAAGTTTTCCCAGTTTTTGGGGGGTAAAATTAAGGGTCTCGACTTATATTCGGGTCGACTTATAATCGAGTATATACGGTAATTGAATAGGTTATGTTTACACCGTAAACTGCATTTTGTGTCCCTGGTTAAGTAGTTTGTAACTGCAGCAGTTTGAAAAAAATAGCTGCAGCCATGACTGGCTACTTATTTACATTAAAAATTATTTTACGTCCTTCCATACAGCCTCTGTTCAACTTCTTTTGTCTCGTGCAGACAATGTTCACTCGACAAACCTCTCTAATCTTGTTTTGGCTTTTGTCAAATCTTGCAGTATCACAAACCCAGCTGTGAACTGGTTGATCGCAGTCACAATATTGTGCAGATTCTATTTGATCCAAGTCCTTCCTTGTTTATTTTTTTGGCCATTATTTTTCATTGTAGTAGAATCCCAAAATAAGAGCACCTGTTTGTGACGTTTTGTGAGTTGGGAAGAAGGCAGAACGTAGGTGAAGCCAGCTCTGGTGAACCTGCGCAGTGCTGGAAATAAGTTGAGTTTTTTTTTAATTATCATTATTTAAGGCGGGCAATAGAGGGCCAGGGGCTTAACGTGTATTTTTAACACGTTTGTGTACCTGACCCTATAGTGTTCCTTTATATTTATATGATTTACTGTAAAATGCCCCCTAAACTTTCTAGGTAACCTGGTGCTTATGCTCTATAATAGAACTAGGCCAGAACAAATGCAGTGGTCCCTGTAGAGATCTGAAAAATAGTGAGCTTTCAAACCACTGCTCTGCTACAGGTACATAAATGGTGCTCCTAACAGTTTATGCCATGGAGTACAAGTGTAAGTATGTATATGTATACACACACTCACACTCTATTTACGGTGTCAGTTAACGTTTTTTCACTTCCATTTTCCTAAGAACATCAATTTCCTCTTTCAGATGCACTAGGGAGAGGCCATGCCATCCCACAATCTCTGAAAATGGGCTAGTGTGTTGTATCATAATGACTGTGCGCCTCTTCTGATAGTTTGTGACACACCCCTGTGACAGAAGTGAAACTTGCCCTGTCTGACACCAATTCTGTCAAAGAAAAAAAATATAAAGAGTAACAAGTAACACAAATGGAATGTGCAGGAACAAGTGATTGCAGGGTTATTGCCGCCTCTTCTCCCTGCAAGTCAAAGTTTTCTTGTTGTATAATGGGTAAACGAGATACAACACCCAGGAAAATGTTGGCACTTGAGAACTAAATATTAAAGGATCACTATAGTGTCAGGAAAACACACTTGTTTTCCTGACACTATATAACCCATAGGTCCTCCCCACCCTCAGGGCCCCCCTCCCTTGGCACTGAAGGGGTTAAAACCCCGTCAGTTATTTTAATCCAGCTCCGGACTCCCTCTGCGCTGGTGACCTCTTGTTCCCCACCAACGTCAACTCCCGAGTGGAGCGGAATGCGCGGCAAGGAAGACAGCCGCTAGAGGCTGGATTAACCCTGCTATGTTTACATCTGAAGGGTTAAAACCTGGGGGACCTGGCACCCACACCACTTCATTGAGCAGAAGTGGTCTGGGTGACTATAGTGTCCCTTTAATAAGAAAAACATATGGTTAGAATTTTAAGCAAAATACAGAAAACCAAAGAAGAATTGGATTTTGGGCTAATTTAAAGGGACACTACAGTCACCAAAACAACTTTAGCTTAATGAAGCAGTTTTAATGTATAGATCAGGGGTCAGCAACCTATGGCACGTGTGCCTTTGCACGGCCCTTAAGATTGCCAGAGTCAAACAGACTTCAGATATTTGCTAGTGCAACCAACCTGAGATTGCAGCTGGTGATGGACAATCCTCAAATTATGCATTTCAACACTTAGAGGAAGTGATCTTACAGCACTTTGAATAGGAATCCGCACTGGAGTAGAGTAGCCTATTGCAGCTTCTGCCCTTGACCTTCACACTGGTAGATATACACAGAGCTGCCGATGAAGCCTCTTCCTCATACTAATAATACAAACAGGCCACCTACAAACACACCACCATTGACAATCCACATACATGCACACAAGCC